AAGTGCCTCGGCGTTCACACGCCTGCGGGACTACATTTCCCAGAATGCTCGCGGGGCAGCACTTGCACCGCGTGACTTCTGTTTTGAGTTAAATGGAATTCCTTTGAGCTGGCAGCCCTTAGCTGTCAGATTCGTTTTGATTCTGTTCCTTTTTTTTTTAAAGCTCATGAGAGCATAACGGCAAATTTTTAAAAATTCAGCCACATAGAGAGGCGAAGTTTGCATTATGAAAATAAGTTAAAAACTAAGTTTTTTTAGGGAAACAACAACATGGAGGGGAAAAAAATGAGCAGATCTGACAGGGACAGGCTGGGCCGCGGTGGACAGCAAACTTCAGGCGCCCGAGTCCGTCTGCAGCGACGGAGGCGGGGCTGGCTGCGGGTGCAGTGGCCGAGGTCGGAACCGCCGAAGCCCGTCCTGCAGGTGCGTTAGGAGGGAGCGGGTCGCGTTCCCACAGCCCGAGCGCTGGAAACAGCGAGGACTTTTGAGGCCGCGCGTGTGTGGACTCTTTGGGGGAAGACTGAGTCTCCGTGGAAGCCCCGTAACGGTCCATCACCGTATTCGGGCGGGAGACTTCGGGACTGAAGGTTAAACAGAGCAGCCGTGCCAACTGCTCAAGACGCCGCTATTTTTAAAAATAGAAACATTTCTTACAAAATCACAGCTTCTAACAGATCCTCAATGCTTCGCACCCGATTCCTGCTCAAATGTTCGTGATCACCTAAAACAACAACAACAACAACACCAACACACACACACACACACACACACACACACCCTCCGCGGGCTGTTCACATCAGTACCTGGTCCGGTCACTTTATTTACTTCTATGCGTTTGTTCTTATACTCGACCACTTCGCCACGTGGCGACCCCTACCATGGGCAGAATCAGGGCAGCTGTCTTGATGTTTCACATTCTCGACGTCTCCCCAGACCCTGGGACACGGCCTGCGAACCCCGAGTATCTGGGGGACAGCAGTGTTTCTGCCACGCGTGGTGGGCTTCAGATGGTCCCGGCGAATAAGGTACAGAGGGTGGGTGCAGCTGCCGCCACACAGACAGACCCGAGGAGCAGGGAGCGGGCACTTTGAGCCCCCCGGGGAAAGGAGGCTGGGGACCGAGTCTCTGGGGACTACTCATGGATCATGCCTGCGCAGTGAGGCCCCCGTGAAAGCTGTGGGCTCTTAATCGGGCTTCTTGATTAGCAAGTACTGTCCAGGTGCTGGCAGGGTAACGTGTCCCGAGTCCGGAGAGTACCGGGAAGCCCTCTGAGACCTCGCCCTTTGTGTGTCTGTCTTTGGCTGGTTTTAATGTGTATCCTTCTGTAGGTCTGATCTGATTTCATCATGATTTAAAAAAAAAATCATCTATTATTTTTCACTTTATGTTTCTGTGTGGGAACAAGCTGTTGAAATCCTTACTTAAGGTATACTAAGCTGATCTTCTGTATATTAAGATAATCGAAAATGAATCTTGATGTGAATGGAAGGGGAGAGGGAGTGGGAAAGGGGAGGGTTGTGGGTGGGAGGGACGGTAGGGGGGGGAAAGCCATTGTAACCCATGAGTCGTACTTTGGAAATTTATATTCATTAAATAAAAGATTAAAAAAAAAATGTGTATCCTTCTGCTGCAATAAAGACTACAAGTCACAGAAGCAGGGCCTTCTCAAGTTTCCCGAGTCATTGTAGATCGGCTGGGCGGAAGCCGCAGTGGCACTGGGACCCCGTGCAGTGTGAAGTGACGGAAGTCTTGTGAGGACTGTGTAAACCGGGGTCCAGATCTGACCGTGGGTAACCCGCCCAGGATTCCCACTTACAACTCATGCAGGGGAATACTTTGATGACCTTGGGTTAGGAAGATTTGTTTGAATAAGAACATAAAATCCCTAATCATAAAAGGAAAATTGAATAATTTGACTGTTGAAATTAACACATTTCTTTATCACAAGATACCTTTACGAGACCTCTTTTTAAGAGAGAACAATTTTTTTAAAATTTTAAGGCTTGGAGCCGGCGCCGTGGCTCAATAGGCTAATCCTCCACCTTGCGGTGCCGGCACACCGGGTTCTAGTCCCGGTTGGGGCGCCGGATTCTGTCCCGGTTGCCCCTCTTCCAGGCCAGCTCTCTGTTATGGCCAGGGAGTGCAGTGGAGGATGGCCCAGGTGCTTGGGCCCTGCACCCCATGGGAGACCAGGAAAAGCACCTGGATCCTGGCTCCTGCCATCGGATCAGCGCGGTGCGCCGGCTGCAGCGGCGGCCATTGGAGGGTGAACCAACGGCAAAGGAAGACCTTTCTCTCTCTGTCTCTCTCTCTCACTGTCCACTCTGCCTGTCAAAAATAAAAAAAAAATAATAATAATAAATAAAAAGATTTAAAAAAAAAATTTTAAGGCTTGGGAAAATGTGAATGTTAACTGGACGTTTGATGATGTTATGGCATATCTGTGTGTATGAGAGAGACAGAAGAGGGAGGGAGAGATGGAGGAGGTGTAATTATGGGGTGCATACAGATGAGATGTATGGAAATGGCTTCAAAATAAGGGATGGGAAAATCAGGTGAGGGGACAGATAAGGGTGACCGTGAGTAGTTCAATGCTGTGGAACTCTAAGTAAATGACGGTTCACGATTCTGCTACTTGAGCATTTGGAATTCTAATCAACAACAACTCACACAGAATAAACACATTCTACTGGCTGCAGCACGGTGGGGCGACTTCGGTTCCCAAGAACCAAGTGTACATTTTATTTTTTGACAGGCAGAGTTAGACATAGAGACAGAAAGGTCTTCCTTCCGTTGGTTCACTCCCAAAACGGCTGCTACAGAAGCCAGGAGCTTCTTCCTGGTCTCCCATGGGGTGCAGGGCCCAAGCACTTGGGCCATCCTCCACTGCACTCCCTGGCCACAGCAGAGAGCTGGCCTGGAAGAGGGGCAACCGGGACAGAATCCGGCGCCCCAACCGGGACTAGAACCCGGGGTGCCGGCACCACAGGCGGAGGATTAGCCTAGTGAGCTGCAGCACCGGTCTCAGTGTACATCTTATGAATGATAGAAGACGGGCACTCAAGGGGCCAAGCGAGCAAGGACGAGGAGAGAGGGAGGTTCATCACCCCGATCTGATCAGTGCAGAGTCACCCAAGCATCGCACTGTACCCCACGGGAGTACATGATTATTACAAGTCACGTTTTTAATGTGTAAGGAGATGGAAATGTGAATTAAACAGATTTGATCTTCACACATTAAACACATGTGTGCAATTTAAAAAGTCATAAAGCAGTGAAAAGGTAAACCAATGTGGGAGAAGATATCTGTAGAATATATAAGGGTATATCAAAAAGTTCATAGAAAAAAGCTTACTTTGATGCAAAGAAATTTGAAATTACCTATAGTTTTTTCATGATATGCATTTTCCACGAACTTTTTGAAGAGCCCTTAAATACCGACAAATGGCTTACATTCAGATGATAAAGAACTGTTGCAGCTGGCGCCGCAGCTCACTAGGCTAATCCTCCGCCTGTGGTGCCGGGCACACCGGGTTCTAGTCCCGGGTCGGGGCGCCGGCATTCTGTCCCGGTTGCCCTCTTCCAGGCCCAGCTCTCTGCTGTGGCCCGGGAGTGCAGTGGAGGATGGCCCAAGTGCTTGGGCCCTGCACCCCATGGGAGACCAGGAGAAGCACCTGGAACCTGGCTCCTGCCATCGGATCAGCATGGTGCGCCGGCCGCGGCGGCCATTGGAGGGTGAACCAACGGCAAAGGAAGACCTTTCTCTCTGTCTCTCTCTCTCTCACTGTCCACTCTGCCTGTCACAAAATAAAAAAAAAAAAGAACTGTTGCATCAGGCAGTGCTGTGGCATGGTAGGCTAAGACTCCACCTGTGGTGCCAGTGTCCCATATAAGTACCAGTTCTAGTCCTGGCTGCTCCCCTTCCAATCCAGCTCCCTGCTGACGCGCCTGGGAAAGCAGTAGAAG